GGCCGCTCCCCGGTGCAGCACAGGCCCGCCGGCCGGCCGCAGCCCGGTGTGCCTTGCCCTCCCCGGCCCGGCTGCCTCCCCTGACGGAGGCTGAGGGAGGTCTGGACGGGAAACCCCGGTCTCTTCATGCCTTACTTGCCACTTGGTTTTCCTAGCTAAGCAAAAGAGAAATTTAGCTTTAATTTTCCAGAACGGGGGTGTGTGGCATGATTGCCTGCCTCCTTAAAACTGCACTGGGACTCCTACCGTGGCTGTGTTGTTTATTCACTTTAAATTAATCAAATTAGCGAAGCTGGCAGATGTTGCAAGAACAAATGACTGTGTAGTGTTCTGTAGGGTTGAGTTGCATTGTCAGTGGAAAAAATGAAAAGCAATACAGATGACCTCTGTGGGTGTTCTGTTTTTCGTAGTACACCTGTACCAGCTGGACATCACGGTGAAACAGGGGCGTAACAAGGTGCGGGAGATGTTCATGAAGAATGCCCACGTTACAGATCCACGGGTGATAGACTTGCTGGTTATTAAGGTACAGACAAGTTATTCCCATTTTGTTGAAGCTGCAGAGTAGGTGAGAGTGGATAATTGGTGGTGAGCGTGATGGAGGAGAGGGACAGTTTTATTTCAGCTTGCGCTATGAAGGAGTTGTCTCTTGCAATCCAGATTGGTTTATCTCTGTCAACAAACCTGCTGATAGTTGCTAGAATACGGATTTCTGTCACTCAGTGTACTGGCTCTTCCAGTTGGCAGTTGTTTAAAAGAGGAAGTGTATGGCAAGCAAAACAGTAGTTTAAATACCAAGTTTGTTGTTTGGGTTTGGTTTTGGTTTTTGTTTGTTTTTTTTTTTTTTTAAGAGAACAATGGCAATCAAAGAAAGGGGAAAAAGATGCTGCTAGCTAGTTTGCCATTAAAAATGACCTTTCTGCTGCCCACAGTACTCCCTTAGTGGTTTTCTTCACTGATTCTGAAACATACATAGAGTGGCAGTACTTGGTGGGAGGCTGGCTTTGGGTGGTGAAACGCCCCAGCACTGTAACGCATCTGGTTATGTCTCAGGCCTGAGAGACCTGTGTGGTTTAAACCAATACCAAGCGTAGGGCAAGGCTTCAAAACGGGTCTGAGCAACAATGACTGACCTCTGCAGCTCTAATGCCAACCAAGGACTGCCGTGCTCACCGGTTGTATTTCTTGCATTTCAAGACAGTTAGTCTGTCTTTACGTGATGAAAAAAATCTGGCAACAGAATCCTAGATAATACAGTAGGTGACAATTCCAGGCAGTCTCATTTTGCTCCGTGCTGCCATCCTCCAAAACCAGGACAATAATTCATACACTGGAGTCATGAAGAAGTCATGTTTAGTATTTCTGTGGCAGTGATACTGGTGCAAAGCACTTAGCAGCGATTTTACTGAGTTTTACAGCTAACTTGCTGCTATTCAAAAAAATTAAATAGAGGTGCATGAAAGTTACGAATGTTATGCAGAATTTTATGGGGGTGCCGGTCATGAGAGAAACAGGGCAGGTTCTAAGAAGAGGGCAGAAATGTGCCTGTTCCACAGGGCTGGACAGCTGAACTGTAGAGACAAGCGACTTGTTAATATAGGGCATGAAGCAATAAAGTCACAAGGCAGGAGCAGTATATATATTTGTGTCACAGTATAGGTGATGCAAGCAGTCTTCAGGAGTACAGAATTGTTGATGCAGCTACCTGAAGGGTGTTCCTAAGTGCATTCAAATAACTTTCATAGCGCTCTATAGTTAGCCTCGGGCTCTAACTGAGAACTAGTCTAAAATTCTTTTGTCTGTGCGCAGGGAAAAATGGATCTTCAAGAAACCATTCAGGTATGGAAGCAGAGGACTCACATCATGAGGTATTTCCACGAGACGGAAACACCACGACCTAAAGACTTTCTGTCCAAATTCTATGCGGGCCACGATCCCTGAGAGATTGACTCTGTGTCTTCCTGCCTTGTATTACAAATAAAGTTCTAACAGTAGAAAAAAAATCCGCATAGAAAGATTGTATGGCATACTAGGAGCCTAATGATTAACTCTGAATCCAGAGTGCGTGCAAGTCGTTACGATCTGTATGAAGAGCTGTGATTTCCTCGCTCTTGCCAGCGTGTATTTTCAGTGGCTGGAGTTTGTCTCATCACTTGCCCTGGAGCGTCTGCTGAGTAACCACAACACAGCCCGGCTGCGGGGCTTTCTGCCCAGCCTGCAGCCCTGTGCGTAGGTGTTAGCTCTGTGGAAGAAAGAGCAGAAAAGCCACTGTAGTCACGGAAATATTTTTGTGCTTGAGGCCCATCTGTATTCACGCAGTGCTTTGCAATTTCATGCTGTGACTTTGTTGACCTCGTGTTTTTTACTTGGACGCTATTCTCTGTTTACTTCCTCGCAGAGAACGGCGTAAAATCCAATAGGCCAATAAAACCCTTTGTGCAATAAAAAGATCAGCAGAGTCCCATTTCCCTGCTGCAAAATGAAATCATGTGGAAAAACGGGGTTTTGTGCTGTTGCCTAGAATAGGGAGGCTGTGTAAGAGCTGCTGATGCCTGGCAGAAGATGGTGTCCTACCATCACCTCCCGAATTGAATCGGGAATTACTAGCTCCCTTTTGAGAAGGGTAAGGAGAACGTGTTCTGCCACCAGTCAGAACGCGTTTTCAGCTGGTAGCTGGGTGCTGGAGCTCCCCCGTGTGCGATCAGCATTGAATCCTTGTAGCACGCTCAAACTTCTTTTTATCCTTGGCTGAGCGACGGGGCCGCCGTCCCCACGCGAGGACTGTAACGCAGCGCTCCGCGGGGCCGTGTGCGTACGCGTACCTGGGAGCTTCGGGGTGGGGTGTTTTCAAGGACAGAGCTGAAGAAGGAAGACGGCAGCGTTACGGAGCGTGCCGGTGTAGGAAGCGGGAGAAAGGGCACGTCCGGCTCCCAGGAACAGAGGAACTGAGCAACCACTTCTCAGGCGGCCTCGGGGAAGGAGGGGCAACTCGGATACCCAGCAACTCAAGAACCTGCCAGCTGCCTTCAGCAACAGCTGCTGGCGTTACTCAGATTGCAGGCGCCCGTTTCTCCCGGCAGCTACGCTGGAGAGCGAGAGCAAATATCAAAAGCAGTGCCAAATAATAAGGGAGCAAATGTGGCTGTTTGAACTACGCGCTGTGCTAATGTATGTGACATTAAAAGAAACTTTTTAACCACTACACGAATACTGAAGGGAAAAGCAGGCAGTCAAGAGAAGAGGCCAGATCTAATGACCAGAAACCTTGAGAGAGACACTGGGGCGATGCTGGCTTCAAAAAAAAATAAATTATTACTTTAACCTTTCAAGGTATTTGAGAAAACAGCTGGTCTCTCGTGACTGAAGATACTCTACGCGTGCCCTAGCAGTAGAGAAGACCTTCTAAGTCTATTACGGAAGGATTTAATTGCAATAGTAAACACTTCTTTTTATAGAAGAGTTGACGTATATACACAGTTAAGAAAATACATATATTAGGGCTCATACAGAAGGAAGTACTGAACTACCTAGGAAATACGAGCTATGTGGAGCCAGACCGTTCGGAGATTTTCACTGTTCATAGATTAAATGCTGTAACACGCATCGACAAGTTAGTTTGCCGCTTGTGATCTTAACTTTTTACCTAACCTACTCAAAACTTTTAGCTCTGCAACGATAACACTATATTTAATCCTCAGTGAGGTGAAATTAATGATACAGTCTCTATCAGACACACCTGCATAGTGCTAGGTTGTAAATCAACATCATTTGAAGTGCAGTGCCAGTGTCAGTGTGAACTCCATTCTTTTAACGGGGCTGTGCTGAGAGGCTGCTGCTTCCTCCGTGATTCCTGTCATGTGCTGTAGAGGAGTACTGAATTACAGAAAGGACTTGTAAGAGGAAATAAATACGAAGAAAACCTCCTTACTGGAACAGACATACGGAGGTAGAAAGGTTAATACAGAAATGCTAGGTCATAGGCACATAATCTATAAAAACACAAGACCAGAGTCACGTATCTCGATCTCTTGATCTTTAATTAAGTGTTTCCCGTAGTGCTAATAAAAGGAATCCCAAGCAGTCTTTGATGAGGTGAGCATGTATGTGCAAGGATGCAGGGCTTATCAAGCACTTCCTTCAACCCTGATCTACAGATTCCCGTCCTACGGACACGTGCAGGACACTCACTGGCAAAGGGGATGCAGAGCCCCCCGTCCCCTTTAGGAAGGGCAAAACGCAGGTGACAGATGTTGGAACCATTGCTTTGTCGATGGTTTTCTCCCTTCTGTTCTTCCATTATGGTTCTGCAAATAGAATAATAAGCTGTTACTCTTCAGATATACTGTACCCGAGCTCCAGCCTGTACCCTCTGCCCAAGCCACACAAGGTGGGGGTTTACATCAAAGGAGTTTCTAACAGGCCATCGCAGTCTTTACAGTCTTTTAATTCTCTGGTTTTAGCTACGCTGTGCATGCTGGAGAATCCCTTTATCAAATGCAGTACATCCACCAAACTGATTACAAAACAACACTATTTACAACAATGTCTTTAAAGCAACTTCTTTGTTCTATAAAGAAATACAGCCAAACTCAAGCCTTTACACAAGGGCATAAATACATAATAATAACATAAACCAGACAAAAATGTAGTGTCGTGTCCTGTAGATAAAGGTGAATTATTTCTGCTCTTCCTTTATCCAAGGAGTCTCAATGGTCCAGCGACTCCGGAGATGAGTGCTGTAACACTGTCAGCTGTAACCTGACAGTTTGATCTGTCCGTAATTCTCTCAAATCGTTCACTGTATATCAGAATTTCATACAGTGAGTGATTCTTTTTAAGAACAGTCACTCTGAGTTAGCAGAAGACTTTTCAACAGGTAAACATGTAATAACACCAAAGTCCCTCTTTTTGTCTGCAGTGCAGACCCTCACTGACTACAGTTTATTTCTGATTCAAAGATCTAAAATACCATCAGTTTATTACGATCGCTAGCGAATGTACGTTGTGGAGATTTCACGTTCGGGTACCAGTCTGGCCTTCTCCGGCATAAGGGAACCAAAAAGTTGGTAGCCAGAGGCAATACAGCTGCACGCACCCGCGTCTTGAACTGCAAATGCATCTTTCAAGCAGCTGCTGTCCGTGTTTCCTAGTCCGGGATTCTCCCCCCTGTCCCAAACAGGAAGCACAAATAATTAGATTGCAGGCGATGTTAATGACATACCCTTTAATCGTCGTCGTCGTCATCCTCTGGGACAAAGATATCGTGTTCTTCAAGCAGGGCTGCGAAGTTCTTACTGATCTGAGTCCCGACGTACAGGAACGGGATGACAACGCTGAACACCCTGAGGAGGCCGAAGGGCGTCTGCGAGGCGTCGATGGGAAAAGACCGGCCTTTACCAGCAAGCTGCGCTTTGGCTGAGCCTACGCGCCGCCGGCTCCACAGGCGCGCAGAGGACCCGGGGAGCGGCGGGAAGAACGGTTCGCCGCCGAGCCCCCGCTCACCGCATCGCGCTTTGTCCCATCAACCCCGGCACCGGGAGAGCGGGAACCCGCGGGGGGCTCGGGGCAGGGGACAGCGGTGGCTTAGAAAGGGAGAGCGGCTGCCGGGGGGGCACGGCCGGGGGGCGGGGGGGGG